AAACAAAATGATCCTTTAACTTATTATCATTATTATCATTATTCATGTGTTTGTGTCTTTTGTGGGGACTGTGCATTATTTTTTGACTGTTTCAGGTGATTTTATGACTCTTTGAATGCTTTTTGTCATTTCTCTTCATCTTTAACGTTTCCTTCTGAGGAACCTTTTGATTATCTCATGCTCAAATGTGCATAAAAATCATAATAAGTGCTTCATAACATATGATAACACACACAACTGGGTTAAAATCAGACTAGAATGCGTAGAAAAGAGAAAGAAAGAGAAGAAATAATCCAAAAACATGATGTCACTGATAGACTTCAGGCTCCGCCTCCGTTCCAGGTTCATGAAGTGAAGGCAGGCGAGCAGCAATCCATCTGCTGAGGACCGTCCGCCCACTCGGCCTCCTGAGGACAGCGAGGGGGTTGCCCTTTTTGCTCTGGAAACCTCTTCATTGCACACACAGACACACACAGCTTCCCTTTGTCTGATATCTTACAGTATCTCACAGCGCTGTTGGAGGTCCTCATTGCTGCTCCGGTCGGACTCTGCAGCACCTCTCGCTTCATTTTTCACTCCTGCAGCTGCACAGTGTAACCAGTGACTCGTTTATTTGGAGTAATAGTCACAATCCTGCTACTTTAGAGAAGCTTTATCAAGCCATCTAGGCATGGACGACTATCGTGACAATGAGTCTGCCTGCATCCTCATGCAAAGCACTGCACATGTCCCTCCAAAGCACGGCGCGTTTGGTCATTTCAGCTCCTTTAAATCTCTGCTTCTCTGTTCACAGCACAACTTAAACATCTCTAAGACTCAAACACTCTTTAAAGAAAGTAGAAATCGTCTGACCTAAAAAGAGCTTTGTCCCAGCTTTTGTTGAAGACAACAGTCCAACTCGGATTGGAGTTCATTGTCCTGGACACTGTCTCCAATGATTTTTCTGCTCATCCCATCAGACACTCTTAGCTGTATGTATTAGAAACATGTTGGCTGTAATCCATCACCAGAAACCTTTTTTCCTGCACAGGAGAAGTTAAACGGTGCAGGTCTGGTGGTGCTGAAGAGCTGCACAGGGCACAGGCACCAGCACAAGGTGACAAAACACTTTTTTAGGTGGACGAGTGAGCCAAGCGCCAAGGAACACAGCACTAGATCTACAACAACAGCACAGAGGAGGAAGCAGCGAACAGCAGGCAAGAACCATCAGGCCAAGTCAGAGAAATGAAGCCAAACTCACGCAGGACACAAAAGAAAACTGACCTTCAAAGTAAAACAGGAAACAACCAAAAGAGACCAAACACAAGGGTGAAAACCAAGACAGCAACACAGATACGACACAGAGGGGGAGGCACAAACTCCAGACACTGATCATCATCTGGACAGGAAAGTCCACAATATCACCAAAAACCTCAAACAGTGAGATCAGAACCATAATCAAAACTCCACAGCAAAACACTGAAAACCAAAATGACCAGAAGATTTACAGTCTTACACATTTCCTGTACTCCAGGATTTTAAAAGCAGTAACACTGCAGATGATAACAAATGTTTCAGGGACCTGAGACTGTGCCAGTGGTACTCTGTGTGTACTGTAAAAGCTGCAAACGCTAATGAGTTGCATCAACTTAGTTAAGAAATTCAGTCATACATTTCTTAATTTTAAGATTTCTGCTCATGTATTTAAGGTGAAGACATTTAAATTAATACATTTGAACAAACTTGATTCTAAGAAATTAAAAACATACAAGTTTTTTGATACTCCAAAATCTTTTGCAATGTTGCCATAATTTTTTTAATTTAAATTTTTTGTGAAATTTTTTCAAGTTTTTCATATCAAGATTTGTCGACATTTTCTCTAACCAAAATTACCGTCTCCATAAAGTCAGCAGACGGTAAGTGTACGTCCTAAAAATCTGTTTTTCTAGCGTCTAAGCAGAAGCAGCACCGGATATTTCAGCTGTGCTAAAATCAAGCAGTGAGCTAAAAATGAAACTAATAATCTATATCTAATATATTAAACAAAGGTCAGGACATTCAAAGAAACATTTCCCCAAACCAGCTGAGTAAAAACATCAAAGGCACATTAGCTAACATTAGCTAATTAGCACATTAGCTAATTAGCACATTAGCTAAGCCATTAGCTAATAGTAGTAGAAGACAAAGGTCTCTAAGTTTCTCTAACTTTAAACATATTTTGTATATATTTGGTAATAATTTTGATTTGAATTATTATGGAGATGAATAAGCACAAGATAATGGGGAATTTCATTTGACTACAAAGTCATATTTTAGTTTAATATTGATTGTTAAGTAGAAGTGGAGGCTTTAACTAGCTGCAGGCTAATTCCTGTGACTTCAAGCCTGGAAATAAATGTTTGCTTGTTTGTCTTCAACTACGAGCACTTTGTGGAGTATATGACGTGCACGAGGACACGTCTGACGTGACTACCAGTGAGTGTTTTCTACAGGACAGCTAACATGTCACAAAATGTGCAGTTACGCATCTGAAAAATTGTGGGGTGTGGTTAACCACTTCCTGTGTTGAAACAATAAAAAGTATCAAAACATATAGCTCACTGCAGAACATAATCTGATTATCTGATTACGCTGTGCTCCAGGTAAGCATACAAGTTAAACTGTCACAAAACCAAAACAGGTGTGGACATGAGTATCTTCCCACATGTTCGCATGCGCATGCGATGTCATGACTCACAAATTTGTGTGATTATGCAACTATGTATACATTACCAGAACACCCCAATTTTCCCATTTTTTAAAAATTGAAAATGATGCAGTTTAATGTCTCATTGCACTCTGAAATTAAAACATTTTGCAAATAAGCAATTGAGTTAAAAAAGAAATCATAGAATCAATGTATGGACCAGCATGTATTCTAAACTTCTGACTCATTGGCGTAGCCACCTTTGGCAGCTATAACAGCTGAACACACGCGTAAAATTCTTTCTGCAATAGAAATAAAATACTCTTCAGGAAATTCTTCCCATATCTGTTGCACAAGTTCCTGTGAACGTTGACACCTGTCAGTTGTTTTGCTTTCACTTTTCTGTCCAGTTCAGTAAAAGCAAAGAATAACCTGATAATTTTATTTGTTTACCTGATTTTTGTTTTTGATAAAAATGAGATCCAGGACATTTGTTTTAAATAGAACAGTGGCAGTTTAATGTCCTCGTAAGTGGATATCAGGCCCTTGTAGAGTAAAATTCAGTATTTTGGTCCAGACAACCCAAAATGTGATGTCCACATATGTGGACACCAGGTCCTAGAAGATTAAATCTGGAGGCTGTGCTGGACACTCCGTGTTTACAAGCTCACCATCTTCTACTTTTTCCTGAGGCAGTTCTGGCACAGCTTGGACTTTGTGTTGGGTCATTATCTTGCTGTAGGATCAACCCCTCACCAACTAGGTCCATACCAGAGAGTATACACACTTCTTGGACCACATAACACTCTCCTCTCTCTTCCAACACTGACACTATTCTGTATTGTACTGTTCAACTCTGAGTATTGTACTTATTCTGTGTACTATTTATTTATTCTCATTCTGCTGCAGGATGCTGTGGTAGCTGGTTTGGTTCAGGGAGCCTCTCACTCTGTACGAGTCACCGACCCTGGATCAGCAAACAGCCCCAGACCATCACACTGCCTCCTCCATGTTTGACAGTTGATGCCACACACTGTGGAACCGTCCTGTCACCTAGTCAACGCCGTACAAAGCTCCTGCGTGATGAACCATCAATCCATAAAACCTTCTTCCAGTCTTCAGTAGTCCAGTGTCGGTGTTTCATGGTCCAGACAAGCCTCTGTGTCTTATTTTGACGTCTGGCTTTCTTGCTGCAGCTCGTCCTGTCAAACCTGCAGCTCGAAGTCTTCACGGTAGAAACTGAGACTTGCTCACTACGACCACTATTAAGCTGCTTGAAGCTGTTGTCCTGTGAGCCGCCAGTCAGACAATGTTAACTCTCAGAAACATGTCCTCTGATTCAGTCGTGTCTTTGGGTCTGCAGACCTGTCACAGTTTGTTTCTGAGTGTGAAGGAAACTGGACTCACTCACACCCTGACTTTCTTTGCAGTTTCTCTGTAGGACAGACCTGCAGTTATAAGTGTTATGATGGTCTGTCTCTCTTCCACTGTTAATTGCCTTTTTGCTCACAACACTCAACTTTCTGCAGTCAAATTCTGTTCAACTGATGCTCACGAGGGTCTGGTACCACAGTGTGTTCCAGCACTGCAGACAGAGGGCGCTGTATGTAATCCAGGAAAGTTGGAACACCTGTGGGAATTAGTAGCACCAGCTTTCATGGTTTGATCAACCTCATAACTCAGTATAATTATCCGTTATTTAATAAATCTTGGCAAATTCCACGTGCTGCATTAATAATAGTAGATAATGTGACACGGCATGCGTCTCAGGCCTCGCTAACATGTCTGTGCATGCGGTGTGGTTTTTGTTACCACAGCAGATCCCCAAACATTGGGCATCTGTGACTCTGAGAGTTTCTAAGTGCTGGACCTGCATCACAGAGGGTCTCGGGCTGAGTGGGCGAGCTCAGATGAGGACACTGGATGTTCCTCTGAAATTTAGAAATACGAGTGTCTAAACTTCTTATGGCACAAGAAGAAGATCACGAGCGGAACATGTTAAAATCATCTGCTGAGGCGGAGAGCCTGCTAGGACTTTGAAAAAACCTCTTCACCTAAATTAGTTTGATTCATTTGTAAAAACCAAGCCAGGAGCTCCACTCAGGAAAGTTATTCTGACCTGGAAGGAATCACAGCGGGAAGATGGTCCTGGTGTCTGATGGAGGTAAAAAGGAGACGTTTGTGTGCTCTAGCTTGTCCTGAGCAGCCACCCATAATACGAACGTGCTAATTCAGCTGTCACGGAACAAAAAATCAGGCAAATGTTGCATAACTTCAGCTGTTTTTAAGCCAAATTAACAAAAAGTTTCATTTTTGCTTCTTTTATGCAAGAAACTGATGGATTCGTGTTAAAACATCGATGGTACTGAAGCTGGTTTCTGACGCTGTAGCCATCACTTTGTGTTCAGACTGGATGTGACAGCTCAAAGGTGTTTTCAGCCCTTTGGTTTGACGTGGATACGTCCCGTATTTATGAAATTATGATGGAAAAATTATCATAAAGCACCAATTTTTAACCCCTCAATGAAAAGTTGTTGCATTAAAACCCATCTGACGCGTCAGGAGGAGGCACTGCTCGGGTTCCTGACCGTCCTCGTGCGCTTTGTTGCGATGATGTCAAACCTTCACCACCTCCATCGTCCTCATCCTCACGTCCTGAGCTGCTGCATCTTCCTCCACTCCCCACAAACTAAATAACCCCTCTTCATTACCATGACAATTTTAACTGCGAGGGTGGAAGCAGAGTGAGGTGGAAACAATCGTATTGTCTCTCCCCCCTCCACGCTCTCCCGCTCCCTCTCTCTCTTTTTGTCATTGGCAGCCCACTCAGACCCCGGGTGACGATGACCCTTTCCGGGGGCGAGCCACGAAGCCGGAGGAGCGGTTAAACTTTTCGATCTGGCG